AATTAATATTCAGTTGGCCATCCTTCATTAGAAATGCATGCTTCAATTCTTTTTGGCATGCTTTCAATGAGTGTATGCAATTTTTCATAAGGAATTTGCTGCCATTCTTCCTTCAGTGCAATTTCCAGTTCACTTGCATTTTTTGGATGATTTTTTCATTTTTTAATCTCCTTTCCAGAGATGTTCAATCAGGTTAAGATCAGGTGATTGATACGGCCATTCTTTTAATATTTTTACTTTGTTTGTTTGGATCCAAATTTGAACATCATTGGCTGTGTGAACTGGTGCATTATCATCTTGAAAAAAATAACCTCTCCCATCAAAATCCCTCTCTATTAATGGTAACAAGTTCTTTTCTAAAATCTGAATACAATCGAAACGAACTATTAAACATAATAGAAAAATGATGTTTTGCATAGATACTCTCTGAATTTAAGGTTTAATATAATATAAATTTTACATATAATAATTATGTGGGTTTTTGAGCACTTTGATAAACAATTTTTTGTTCAAAAAATTTTCAATTGAAGTTCGTATTTTTTTATTTATTAAAGTTTCACATAAGCTGAAAAAATAAAATTTTACATGAATATTCTTCAAAACCTAAGCTATAAAATGATATAAATTTTATGTGTGGGTATTACGTATGTTTTTGGGTAATTAATGTAAATAGGTGTCCAAATACTTTTTTTCCAGGTAGTGTATATAATTTTTCTTGTTTTTTACTAAATATTTTATATTAAACCACACTTGAGATTTCGATATATTATATTATAAAGTCTAATTAGGAAAATTTCATAAAAAAACTGAATTAAAAAATATTAAAATTAATAGCTTTATAATATTTATCTTTTGTGACAAGAGAATTTTGTAAAAAAAAATTATGGGTAACACAGATCTGCAAAAATCAACTATTTTGCAAACCACAATAATATTGTTTCAGATCACTGCATAGCAGTAGAAGCATAATGGTAGATAAGTATTACAAATCAGTCTCACAGAATGAGAATGTTTTCGCATCTGATATTTTGTATCATGTAATTGATGAATTATAAAATCTTAATGCAAAAAAAGCACATGATATTTTTATTTAATATATATAAAACATATATGTTATTGACTTTAAGTACTGGAACCACCTGCGACTTCTTGGAATGATCCTGGTTCAGCAATTTTGAATACCAATTATAATCATAACCAGAATGATGGTGACAAACCAATACTCATCACAACCAACTTTTCCAAAAAATAGCCAATAATACTACTGTGGAGGTGAATTAAATTTTTTTAACAAGAATCCAAGACAAGGAACATGAACATTACTTAGTATGGTATGGCTTGTTTTGAAGAAGATGTGTTATTTGTTAATAACAAGAGGTATGATTTGTTTGTATTGGTGTCTTTATTACAAATATAACAAAACATGGAACAGGATTTGTCATCTTTTAGGTGTATATTTATTATAAGATTCTTCTATCAAGATAATAAACAATTGTTGAATTTGTCTTTGTAATAATTATTAATATTAAGAAAATTCTGAGAAAAAGAAAACAACTTGACTATTGAAGATGAAAAAAATTTGATATGTAACAAATGTTGTAGTACATTACCCTGAATATAATAAACTCTTCTTCCTTGTGTACATAAGGTTAAACCAACCTGGTGACCTAAATATATGATGATGCAACTAAATTTTCAGGAGGTGCATGGATCTGGAGTTTATTGAAAGATTTCATCATTCCTCTGTGAACCTTAAAATATTTTATTTTATCCTTTTTTTTCTTGATCAGAATTTTCTAGCATATTTATAGAAGAATTTGTATGTGGGGAATGCTGCAACAAAACCAGACAAAGTGAACATTGGTCATTACCAAAGATTTCAGGGATAAAAACTTAGTCATTTGTAATGTGCTTATAATCAACAGTTTTATAATATTAATATCCATTTGTTATCTATATAAAATAATAATATGAAATTAATTTATATAGATCTACTATAGAGCCCAAGAATTATAGTACTGTTAGAAGCACTTTAAAAAGGAACAAGGTGAAAAAATTGCACCTTACATTTTTAAATTAGCAGGTATTGAATACTTGCAAACATATTTAGACAAAGAAAGAATTACCTATGAAATTTACCAAGAAGAAAGGAATTCAATAAAATAAAGATCTGCAAGGCAATTTTTAGTTAGATCAACAACAGATTGGGGAAAGTGACCATTATTCATTCCTTAAAGAGGTGAAGCAAAATACGACTATATTCTCACCATGAATCATCTTGGTGAATTCCACTTGAATTAGCCAAGGACCTAAATTTTTTGTAAAGGTATCATTTCTCTTGGATCCGTGAGTGAATGAGAACTTTCATGACCGAGTATAACCCCAAATGGTGAAGTTGTAGATAAATTATATCATTTATGCTTGTATCATGATAGCATTCAAAACGAAATGTATTCTATACATGGCAAAGCAAACAAGCATAAAAGATTTGATGCATGTTCCAGATCCACAAGAAAATTCGTAATTTCGTGGATGAATGCTATCGAAAACTTGCAAAATGGTTATGCGAAAACTATCATGTTGTCTTGCTTGCTGAATTTAAAAACACAAAACATGATTCAAAAATGATGATGGTTTTAGAAAAATCCAATTTAAAACTGCAAGGTAAATGTTGACCGATCACATTCTCGCTCCATAAATCCGCGAGTATGGTGATCATCTGCATTTGAGAATACACTAGCAAAACTTCTGAATGTTGTGGAATAATCAGATAAAATATGGATTCCTCAAATACCTCTGGATGTACATCTTGCAATTTCACCATTACCGTGTAAATAGAGCCCGGAGTATACTTTTAAAGCATATTCCGGAAACACAACAAGAGTCCCTCATAATGTTGGGGCTCCTTTTGAGAATTAATTTGTGTAATAAAAGTTGTGATACAAATTTACTAAATTAAAATTTTCTTTCTTTTTTCTAAAAATCACACCCACTTATTTTCCTTATTTTCATTAAATAAATGGTTCTTTTGGTAGAGGTTATAATAAATAAATAACAATAAATTTTTTCTATGTGTGCGTACTTACAAAAAGGGTATAGTGTATTAAGTAATAATAATCATTATATAAAAAAATTTTTTTCTTTTTTTTTTTGTCCAATTGATAAAATAAACAACAACAAATAATAATCTGGTAAGTTTATTAGTTTATAAACTTTCTTAATTAAAAACAAAAGAAAAAGTAATTAATCGAATATCTTGCTTATTAAAATCGAAATCTATCTTTAAGATATTACAACAATCATATATATAGTCTCATCACATTATATATACATATATATACAAATACATAAAAAGCATCATTTTTTAAAAAAAGCATTCAAACACGTTGAAATATATATATATTAATAACCATAACAAAATGTGGAATGCTACAATAACAATGTCGACTGTAAGTCAACCTAATTCAACAACAACAACCAATTCCACAAACGATCCTAGTAAAGAACAACTTTTTCAACAAGAAGAAGAGGAGGAAGAGGAGGAGGAAGAACCTATGCAAGAAAGTGGAGGAGGGCAATATCAAGGAGAATATTATGGTAAATATTATCATCATTATCATTTAATGTGTGGATGATGAATTTCATCTTTTTTAAAATTAATTAATTTGTGGGATTAGATTAATTAAGTGGTGAAAGAGATTAGATGAGAAATTAATTAAATAGTTTTTGGTGGTATTTTAAATTAATTTTATTCATAGTGAAGATGTAAATCTTTCAGTTACGAGAAATTAGTTTATTATTAAAAATCTTATTTTATTTTATTTATTTAAGATGAATATTATTTCTCATATATTCTTATAATCACAATAATAATAATCATGTTCTTAATATATACATATTTTTTTAGAATCAGATACATCAAATGACACGGGGACGGAATCACTTACATGGATTTCATGGTTCTGTTCACTATCAGGTCATGAATATTTTGCAGAAGTAGCAGAAGAATTTATAGAAGATGATTTTAATTTGACCGGATTAAATTCAATGGTGCCGTTTTATAAAGAAGCATTAGAAATGATTTTGGATGTTGAACCTGGTAAGCACATGGCCAGGTATGGCTAATTATGATTGGTTTAGAAGGAGAGGGATTAATATATAATATAATGTAATATTTTTCGATTTATTTATTTACTAAATATTATTTAGAAGAAGATAGTTTAAGAGTACCGGATGTTTCAATTGTTGAAACTTCGGCAGAATTATTATATGGGCTAATACATCAACGATATATTATAACACGTCAAGGATTACAGCAGATGGCAAGTTACATGTCATTAAGATATAAATACATAATCTGATTTATTAAATTCACCAATTCTAAATTGTATATTTCTTTTTTTGGAAATATTAGGTGGATAAATATGAATCAGGACATTTTGGTACTTGTCCAAGAGTATTTTGTCAGACATGTCCTGTTATACCATGTGGTAGAAGTGATATGCCAGGAGTAGAAACTGTCAAATTATTTTGTCCAAATTGTCTTGATTTATATAATCCTTTAAGTTCAAGATTTTATAATGTTGATGGTAAACAAAATTGACTTTTCTTCTTTCTAAATAATAAATAATCCCAATAATAACTATTGTAGCAATACAAACGCGTATTTTTAGGTGCATTCTTTGGAACAACATTTCCTCATCTACTTTTTCAACAATATCCAGATTTAATTCCAAATTCACAAGCGATAATTTATGAGCCAAAAATTTTTGGATTTAAAGTTAACGAGAGAAGTCGCACAGGACCAAGGATGCAATGGCTAAGAATGCGGCCAGGTGATATAGAGAGTGAAGGGGAGGAGGAAGGGGAAGGGGAGGAGGAAGAGGAAGAGCCGGTACCGGGTGGAGCAACTGGAGAAGGGGAATCAAATATAGAGGTTGAAGTTAACATTGATATTAATAATAATAACAACAATGTTATTATTAATAATCATGATGCTGATAACGGTGATAAAAATGAAGACAATAATGGAGATAAGAATGATGAAACAATGTTGGGTAAGGGAAGTATTAGTGTTGTTGGATCATAATAAAAAAAACTATTTAGTTTGTGCATGGGGATTATTTATAAATTATTATTATTACACTATATCCTTCATTCTTGCCACTTTCTTTTCTTCACAACCAAAATATTTGGACAATTAATTACCTTTTGCTTTTTGATTTTATCGAAAAAAAACTTTTTGAACATTATCGTATTTGTATTATATTTATATAAATTTTTTATACATACTTACATTACTTACATACATACATATATTTTAATTAATATAGATGGCAACATTGTCAAAAAATAAAAACTAATAATCAATAATAAAAAGTTCATTTTAAATTATTTATTTAACGAATAAAAGATTGCTTGCATGAGAATTCCAAAATATATCGAATTTTTGATCATTTATCATCATCATATTAGTCGAACGATATGTCACAGGAAGTGTAATTACATATTTGATAAATTAAATGACATCATGGACTATACACCCTTAAAATGGGAAACAAATAAGTTCCACGCCAGTGACAAATAACAACAGATACTCGTGTAACGAAAGAGGACTGAATATCCGCGGCAAAAATGGATAAAACTTGATTAAATATTGATTTGCTATCTTCTGGGCAACTAATTATTTATTAACTAGAATTCAAAGACGAAATCATTTCAAGCCAAGTTTATACTAGGATATGAACTTTTCTTAAATGGTTCGAATATCTATTATCCTTTTGAAATAAAGGAAACATTCTCCAGGTTTCACTGAATTGGTGTTTATTAATTAAATTCATATTTAATAAATAGAACCAAAGTTGCAATAGTATTTACTTAACCAACTAAATTCAAAATATGTGCACAAAAACGTATATGGATTGGACAAGCAAATCACCTGACAATTTGTCGATTACAATAGCAACAGGTTTTGCTTCAAAGAAGATATATACTAGTTTCATGATGACTTTCAAACATAAACGGCAATAAATGCAGGTGCTTGTGGTGTAAAACCTCTCACGTAAGTGTTTTTTAAAAAAGGTAATAATTTATTCACTTTTTCTGATGAACTGACAAGTACTTCAATCAAATGTCCAATAATTACCTTTTTTGATTACATTGGTGGCTAATCTAAACAACACTAAAACGTTCATTTGGGCCTTTTCGAAAATCTTGATTTTCGAGTTATTGGAAATCATACACTCTGAGATATTTTCCTTTGATTATATAGAGACTATCGGATTTTGAGAAAATTTACCAAAAAATCATATATGTTTAATTAGATGTTATTAATTTAAAAAAATCACCTTTTGTGTATTCACGCTCGATTATCATAAATTAATTAATCTGGGCACCAACATCAATACCAATACTAATAAATAATAAATAATAATAAAATAACGTTGTCAAAAATGGTGTCTTCCAATGAATATCATCCATTCAGAAGTTTTTTTCTAATGGGCAAGTTAATAATAAATCAAAATAAACGGAAAATAGCAAATCCCGCATTCAACCATGCACTTTCATAGCCAAATACACTGTAATTATTGATTTAAATTAAAAATTTATTTAATCACTGACTGTTAATCAATCAATCAATCAGGAAATACAAAATAAAGAAGCAATTAGAGTCTTGGGTGTAAAGGAAATTTCATTTATTAGAATTTTAAATATATTAATGCAATAATTAAACATTTATCACACGCCTTACCAACAAAGAATTGAGCTATGACCAAATAATAATCCCAAAAACACTATAGCAACTGTTGATATTTGGGTGATTCATCATGCATGATCTTGGTGCATTTACTCCAGAAAGATTCTTGTCAAATAAAAAATGATGATAATCTACATGTTTGGATGCCATGTTTTTGTTGAAAAAAAAAGAATAATTTATTTTTTTGGACAAAATTTCTTGATGTTTTTGTAAGTAAAATAACGATTTCTATCCCCGCTCCTGACTTCTCAATATTAAACAAACTATGAAATTAGTTTGGCACCAAAATCTTCTCATAAAGATAAAATAATTAAAATAATGAATGCAACTTTAATAAAACCGTTACAAAAATAATAATTAAATTCTTTATAATTCCCCACTTTTAAATATCACCAAATTCTGGGTAGTGGACATCATGTTTGTGTTACAAGGGTAAAACAACAATTATCACAAATAATGTTGAGCTTTTATTGGCAAGCCTAAGTTTTTGATCCAAGTTGTTATATTAGGAATATCATTATCAATTGATTATATTTGGATTATCATTTGATTTTTCATAATGTGTTAAAGTTTTAATAAAATAATTTAAGTGATGCTGACATTTGCAATTTAATTCTTGAAAACATATATTATTGGGGTTGGTCACAATGGTTGATCATCAAACATAGTTCAGGTCAATATAGAAATTTATTATATGCGGA